ATAGTATACTGAACAAATGTTATATATTTTTTATTTAAATTTATTTTTGAATGCTTAAAAGATTTAGATCGGTAGTTGCATGCAAAGATAGGTTAGCTTTTGCGTTGGCATTGCCAAATACCAACCTGATTTTCACCAATGGTAAATGTATATATACATATATATGTATATATACATATATATGTATATATACATATATATGTATATATACATATATATGTATATATACATATATATGTATATATACATATATATGTATATATACATATATATGTATATATATATATATATATATATATATATATATATATATATATATATATATATATATATATATATATATATATATATATATATATATATATATATATTAGGGTGATGCAAAAAACAACTTTTTTAAAAATAGTCTCCTGCTCTTAACTAAATGTGTTCTATATAATACAATAACCCTAGGTTTAAAACTTTTTAAATTATGTATATTTAAAATTTAACTGAAGAAAAAGACTTTAACAGTTCAACAACTGGATAATAATAAGAAAAGTTATCTAAGATAAATTTTTCCAAATCTGGCAAAAGCTTTAGTATTTTGTTAGGATTTCTACCATCCAGTCCACCTCCATTATACCCATGCCAAATAATTCCATGCTTTTTTAACTAAAGAGCAGCATCAGGTTCCTTACAGAAGACATTTGAAATTTCTGCTATAATCTTCATCATTAAATGTAGTTCTGGAGGAGGGATGACATCAAGAACATACATCTCTCCAGACTCAACCAGGAGACATGGATGTATAACATTCTTATAGAGTTGCATAGAGCTTTTTTTAAATCCACTTTCAGCAAAGTTTTTATACGTGTTCTTAAGCATATTAAAGGTTCTCAGTTCTCCAAGATTAGTTTTATCACCATCACAAAATAAACACGAATATTTTCCCCCATGTCCTGACAAATCTAAAACTATGTTGCATTTAAGATCTGCAGCAAGGTAAAAATTTAAATTGTTTAGCTTTGTTTTTTCTATAAGAATTTGAAGATTTGTGTGGCTTTCGCAAACATTTTTGGCAAAAGCCAATATTATAACTTTGTTCACTCCAGTATTCTTGGTTTCTTTGGATTCATAATAACTTTAAAAGATCCTTGGCCACTATCTATTGCTATACGAATAATAACATTCTCAACTGCTAGTCCCCTAACAATGCAAACATGATTAACTAGAGATACTGGATCTTTGACATACACTAGATCTTTAATGACAGTTTCAATAGTTTTATTTTCTTTAACTTTATTTTTGGATAGAAATTCCACTTTTTCCACTGAGTAATAGTTATTTAAGGCATGTGACAATATCTTAATTTTTTTGGAATAATTAGATTCCACACCTAATCTACCCAAATCTTTTCTTAATTCCATTGCTATAGAATCAATAGTACAGTCTGACATGCCATGCTTTCTTTTGATATTATAGAAAGTTTGGGTAGAGTTTTAAGGGTTAGGTTTTTCCCTATCTGAAGACTCAAAGGAGTTCCTCCAGTTGACAAAGTAACAGTGTTATCTAACTCAATATTTTTAAATTGTTGAATTTCTTTCAGAGATGTGCTAAGTACTTGCTCAACTGTTTTTAAACCTGAAAATTTGTAATTATGTTTTAGGATTACGTAAAAATTTAGGTTTAAAAAAACTATAATTAAGCTCTTACCTGTTGACATTAGCAGTGTTTTTAGGTTCTGTACAATGTCTCTCTTATTACAGGGATGTTGAATTCCAGATCCAATTCTCTGATAACAAGTACAACAAATTTTATCTATGACCTCCTTTGGTACTTCAGGGTCATTAATGTACATGTTTAATACATCCTAAATAAATAAAAAACTATACTTATTTAAAATATAGTTAATTAAACTATAATAAAAGTTATAATTTTATAAATGTTTTTAATGTAAATAATTGAGCTACATATATGAGTTCTTTATAAATTACCTGAAGGTTTATAGATTTGGATTTATCTCTTGACATGATACAGAGCAGGCAATCACATGTTGACACTGCCTCACCTATATTTATATATATAAACAAATGTTTGCTCATATTATTTATAGCTTTTATTATATGCATAAGTAAGTATAAGTAAAAGTATTACCTTTAAATCTCGAAAGTAACTTTATTCTCTCTGATGTGAGCAACCGCCTCTCCAAAGTAACTAGTGATAAAGTTTCTCCTTTTTTAGCTGAGTACAAATAAATCTTGCAGGTTGGACATAACCCAACAGGGTTGGATAGAAGTGTCATATTATAGTTGGTGTTGGCATACAGTTGAATCAAGATTAGTAAAGGATTTCCAGTTACCAGTTCAATGCATTTTAAATTCTTATTACCACAGCAAACACAAATAAGTTTTCTTGAAGAGAAATGATCCCTTGGTTTGTTTGGCATGTTAACTATGTTAATTATGCTAGTTTTAATGCAAATAAATAATAAATATGTTAGATTTTTAACTAAAGCATATACATACATATTAAATTTAGTAACACTTTGACTAGTTTTACTTTAAATGGTTTTAATTTAAATAAAACTTTAAATCTTTTGAACGCCAAGATATTTTTTATTGAATTTTTGAATATGTAACTGATGCTTGATTTTTCTAAAGATAGCATAATTTTTTTTTTTTTTAATAAATAAAGGGGGGCAAGGGGACAGGGAAAAAGTTGCCCTGATCCCCATTAAAAATTGATTTTCTCATCAGGACGTACACCAAATAATTTGTTCTTTTCATAATATTGTCTGTATAATAGTCCTTAACACTTTGTAATAAAAAATTTTTAAGTAATCAAATTTTCAACCTAAACGACCTAGAATTGACTAGTGTAGACAGTGGTGAAAGCAACTTACCCGGAAGAGGTAAATTATAAAATTTCTAATAAAAATCTCCCATAAATAAAAGTTTTATTTTGTGTATGGGTTAGAAAATTTTGGTTAGTTAGATCAATTTTGGATAATAATCCACCCAGTAGTATTAACAAAATTCTCAGTGCTTTATCTCAAAACAATTACGCCAGGAAGAGCATTTGGTTGAAAAAATTGGTTTAATTTTTTCATATTAGAGTGGGCAGAGTGGCCAGTTTCAATACCTTTATAAAAATCAAGAAAAAGATATTTACGATCAATAACTAAATTCAAAAGAAAATTTTATGTCCAAATAATTAGTTTTTTTATGTTTTAACAAAAGCAATAACGTATAAAAACCTACTGGTAATTGAAGACTCACGGCTAGACGCCTCTATTGCTTAGATTTACATCAGTGGTTCCCAACCTGTTGGTTGTGACCCCAACAGAGGTTGCCCAACAATTTACGAAAGGTTGCAATTTAAAAAAAGCAGATATTTAGATGTCAAAAAACATGACGGCATTAGCAGCAAAAATGCAGTGATTTAGGTCCTAAATCTCCCCTTAATCAACTTCTAAATATCTAATTTTTTTAAATGGGACCTCTGTAGGGGTCGCGACCCACAGATTGGAACCACTGATATTGGTTTATAACCTTTAACAAAAAAAATTAATAATGTAGCTCTTAAATTTGGAAAGTTTATCAAGGGATTGTGGGATCAGAAAGGTTGGGAATTGCTGATCTACACTAACTTGCAAAAATATATATAACTAAGAGCACACAATACTTGATTCTTTTAAGAAATTAACTACATATTCAAGCATAATAGCTTTTTTGAAATGCTGGTTTTAAGACTTTAAGCAATAAAAGAATCTGAGTGCACAAAAGACAATAATTTTCTAGCAAAGCAGCTCCTGTATTTCTAAAGTACTTTTTTGAGGCTTTTGGCTCATTTTAACAGAATGCCATAAAGCAATCAAGTAATTATACTACCAGATGTCCATTAATCATAATTTAATATAAAGTCTGTTGCATAGGATACCATAAATATAACTGTGCATACAGTTTTTAAAAGTTTTTTAGTTAGTATCAAATTTAGATAAACTCGCTGTCAAACCAATATGTAGTTTTCCTTAGACCATTAAAACTGATAGACATGGCGTTAGCTATATAATGTTAATTACTTACTCCACGGATAAGAGTTTGTATTTATTATAATATTAATAAATAAATACTTTTAAAGAAATGACATAGTAATTACTATATTTAGTCTTTATAAGAATATATCCCGGAAAAATATATTCTATATATTTCTAATGAAAGTGATTTTTCTAAAAAATTTAAATAAAATCTTATTACTAGTTTGTTTTTTCTAGTTTTTTGCCACAAAGTGACGTCACATTCTCTTGTTTCAAAGATTTACGAAAACGCCGTGTCAGTTTTAATGGTTTGAGGTAGTTTTCTAATAAGGTTAGCACTCACACCCATTATCTTAGCAGATTCATCAACTTGCTATACTCTCATTTTAGATTAAAACATCCATTTCCTTTTTTTTTAATGCAGCAATAACCTCATAACCGCTTGCTTACCATTTCTAAATTAAAATCTTGTATGCAGTATGTAGCAGTAATTTTCACTTTAGAAACTGGAATTGACTTGATGTCATTTTTAATTGACTCAAATTCTGCCATGATTACCTTTTTGAACACATTACAAATGAATCAGATATTTACTATGAACTTAACAAACACTTTTTAAATCTTGGTTCTAGTCTAGCTTCAAAAACAGTGATCCCAAATAAGAAGTTTAATAAACTTATTGTAGAAAAACACCAATCACGAATATCAAATGAAAAAAACCTATAAAGAATTTAACAAAGTTCTGACTAAACTAAAGCAAAATAAGTCGTGCGGATAAGACGAAATGAACCAATACACGTCATTAAATGTATTAGAAAACCCTTTTTTCATTTAATATTATCTCCTTTTGAACACAGTACAATTTCTAAAATGTTAAAAGTTGCTAAAGTTAATCCTTTTTATAAAAATGGAGATTTTAGTAACATGTCTAACTACCGTCCAATTTGCCTTCTATCAATGTTCTCTAAAGTTTATAAAAAAGTAACTTACAATCAAATTTATAATTAGTTGATGCTAAACGAACTTTTATATAAAAATCCATTTGGTATATATACAAGTTGTTCAACAGAACATGTTATTATTGAACTTACAAATAAAATTTTTTGATAAAGGAGAGCATTTACTACGAGTATTTATAAACCTTTCAAAGGCATTTAATACAGATGACCATGCTTACGATCATAACTAAAACATTATGGTATTAAAGAACAAATGTATAAATGGGTAAAAAAGTAAGTAACAAAAAAACAGTTTATAATAAGCAAAGATTCAAGTTTTTTTGTTATTGAGTTCGGGATTCTATAAGGCTCAATCGTAGGATCCTTATTGATTTTAGCTTACATCAATCATATTCATAAAGCATCATCCATAGTATCTTCAATAGTTTATGCTGATGATACAATTTTGTTTTATAATCATAGTAATTTAAAATCAATGTTCGGAACAATGAATACTAAACTTGAAAACTTTAATTTATGGTTCAGAGAAAATAAACTACCCTTAAACTTTGAAAAACTAACTTCATTTTATTTCATAAAACAGGTCAACCAATGTTTCTACTGTTAAAAGTTCCAGAGTTGCTCATTTACAACATAACAATAAAACAGGAAAAAGTATTTTCAATACTTTTTCCTGTTCAACTTTTTTGGTGTTCAAATAAATAAAAATTTATTATGGAGAAATCATATTTGGCAGATTGAATCAAAAATATCATCTGCAATAGGTATCTTATGTAAACCTCGCCATTTCTTGATTTCTGATCAAGAAAAAAACTTTACTTAAGTCTAATTCTTTAAGTAATCTCACAATTTTTGCAAAAAAACTTTATAGGCTTTTATAAATTTTATATTGACTTTGCAAAAAATTGCGATGTAAGTTTTTTTTTTTTTTTTTGCTCGTATTACAAAATAAAATCTTTAACAACCTGTAAAATCCGTAGACTTATAAATTCATAGTTTAGATAACAAAAAAATATATGTATAAAATTAAAATGCAAACAAAGGTATCTGATAAAAGTTCTTAACGATCTTATCGCCAGAAACTTTTTTCAAAAACAACACACATTACAATACCAGAAAGAAAAAAAGAAACTTATAATATAAATATACACTATGTCTTATAAAATTTTATTAAATATTGCTAGAGGAGATCTTTTACAACCATACAGATTCAAGCAAAATATAGACCAAATAAATAGGTACAAAAATCCAAAACCGGCATCATCTGTGACTAGTTCAGGCCCGGCTTTTTCTGTAAGGGGTAATAAATACAGGCTAGAAAGAGAATACGTACCATCATGTTTACCAAGATATAATTTCTTTACCAATCGAGTTTGTAAAAATTGGAATTTGTTACCAAATGAAATTATTGAAGCAACATCGTTGAATGTTTTCAAAGCGCGAATAGATAAACATTTTTCTTAACTTGTGTTTTTTAATTTGTGTGGGCTGTCTATAACCCGATGCTTGCATTGCGTTTCACAACTTATTTTATTTTTAAATATTTATATTTAAACAAATTTTTAATTGTTACAGCAATAAATATTACTATACTATTACTATTGTAATAGCTACGCTATCAAAAGTATTCAGAAATTTTTTCAATTGAGAGAATAAAATTTTTCAATTCAATTTGAAAGACTGATTAAGTAATCGACAAATCAAAATTTGGTAAAACAATCCTATTCCAGAGATGTGTTGAAATACAAAATTGATTAAATCTTGTTTTACAAAGCGGTTTATTTACAAAATTATCATTTTTTAAGGCGTATTTGTTCATGGTTTTCAAAAGAAAAAAAAAACCTTTAAAAACTAAAGGTTATAAATCGTTTTTTCACATATAAATGAAACATAAAACATTAAATACATTTAATTCGTATACATTGAGTATTCTCCTCTCCATAAAAAAAACATTTTAGTATGTGAGAATCGATCCTCAAAATTGATTAAACGCATAGCGTGTTTATGACGGTGGTAAAGACGTTTTAACTTACTTTTGGCTGAACTACCCCAGGCAATAATTGCATAATTTATATAACTGTGAAAAAATGAGTAAAGTTGTGTTTTTTTTTTAAAAAAAAAAAACAACTTTATTACTCATTTTTTCCATCCATGATCCAATTTGATACGTTTTTGCAATCCATCATTCATAGTTGAAAAGAGTTAGTAAATATTATTAAGAGAAACAAATTGGTATCATCTGCAAACATGACTTAAAAGATTTAAGGCTTTATAAAAGTCATTTGCGTAAATCAAAAACAAAATTGGCCCGAGAATAGAACATTACACAACACCACAGGATATTTTAACAAATTTTTGTGAGATATATTATTATAATAGACAACTTGTTTTCAATTTGATAAAACAGGTTTAACCACTAAGCGAAGTAGGTGGCCGCCTTGGGCGGCAAAGTTTTCTAGGGCGACACTAAAACTTTCTACATAAAAAATAAATATATTGAAAATATTGCCAAAATCTTTTTCA